CCTGAATTGCACTACCTCCTGCCTCTGACATTCATTCAGTAAATATTTGCTGAGCACTTTACTCTGTTCTAAAGCTATGAAGTACAAAAGTAAAGAAACTTCATGTGTGTAGTAGAGGGAAAGGTAGGCATGAAAGAATGATATTTCTGAATATGGACTTTCCCTGCAGTGAAAGCACATAATCCTGCTAGAGTACAGCCAATCCCAAGACCTACGGCAATGTGGAGTGATGCTTGGGGCCTAAGTCGGGGGAATGACTACATCTGAGACCAAGAGTGAAGGGCCTGTTATGCCGCCTTGAGGGGTCTGGATTTTAATGCCATGGGCCATAGGAATTTTTCCACAAGGGAATAAAGAAGAATATTTCCACACACACACACACACACACACACACACACACACACACACACACACACAAAAAGAAATCTCTAGCAACAGTATGGAGGATGACAGGGAGATAACTCTTGTTGCTAGGCTGCTGGTGTTAGGCTGGACACAGTGGCAGCCCAGACTAAGCCATGGGACCTTGGAGATAATGTACAGGCAAACTTTGCTTCCCCAGGGCCTTTGCTTTTTTTTTTTTTTTTCCACAACACCTTGTTTCCTTCATAGAACTTAGAGATTCTCATATTATCAATGGAGCACAAGTTTCCTAGGAGCAGAAACCATGCCAGGCTCACTCACTTGTTAATCCCAAGCCTGGCCTGAACCCTGGCACAGCTCAGGTGTCTAATGAGCACTGGGGAGCAGCCACTAACAAATAGATGTGAGGTGAAAGAACACAGTGCAACCCTCTCATGCCCCTAACTTAGGCAAGCAGAAATCCCTTAGTCCAGGGAAAATAACACCATGAAAGCTGTGAATCGAGATAGGAGAGATGAGGAGGGAGAGAAAGTTCTCTGTGGCTTGACAAGCATATGAACTGAGGCCACCAAAGCTTGCACCTTTCTGCTACCTTTGTGAGATGCGGGGCTAAAGGAAGCATTGATTTAGTTGCTTAGTGACAGCTACTACAGAACTGGCATTTTGCTAGGTGGGTTTACAAACTATTTCTAGTTATCACAACAATCATAATAGTGAGAAACTATCTTCAAGAGATAGAAAATAAAACTTGGATAGGTTACTAATTTTTCTCCTCACATTACTAGGAAGCAGGAAAGTGAGATAGGAATCCTGGTCCGACGAACTCCAAAGCTATTCTCTCCCATTCACACTCTCAGCCCTTCACACCTCCATATCAACAGTCTTATAGTAGACTCTTTACATAGATGTTTACAATAATTCCTCTCATCCTGTGTGTCCTTCTGTTTAACTTTGCCACTCCTCTCATCAAGAAAAGCCCCCGAATCTTGAGTTGCTTATGACTTTTGTGACCAAAACATGAAACAGAAATAATACGCAACTTATGAACCTAGAACAGCAAAGGTCTTTTAGCTTCCATAGTCACCCTCTTAGAACTCTGAGTCCACAAGCCAAGGCCAGCCTCCTGGAGGATGAGAGGCCACCTGGAGAGAGGGACCCAGACTACAGCTAGAATCAGCCTCCAGCCATGTGATGGGACAACATGGGTCATCAAACTCCATCAGCTGCCAATCAATCATTGCTGCATGAGACAGGAGACAGCAGCAGAAGAATCTGCCAGCTGAGTTCTGCCTGAGTTGCTAACACACAGAGCTGTGGGCCAATACATGATTTTTATTCTCAATCACTGGGTCTCAAGTAGTGTGTTACAGAGCAAAAAAAAAATAACTGATACATTCCTATACTTCAAAATACCATATGAAGCTGTCTCAGAAGGAAGAGAGAATCTTTTTAGCTCTGGCAGGGAGGAGGGAGTAGCCACAAGTCATAGGCAGTATATCCCAAATTATTGAAAACATCAGGTCCTTTTCCTGAAAAATGAAAGGAAACTATTAATACAGTAGAGTTAAATAAGCTATTGTGAGCCAGTGGGAAACTCATCGTTCTTTTAATGGCTCTGTGGGGAAATGTTTCTCATTTGAGTCAACTGACTTCTTACTCACTTGTTGGTAAACTGAGAATCATTTGTCTAGTATATAACACTGCACTTCATAAATACAGATCAGACAGACAGGAAACAATAGTGAGAAACAGACAGAACATATTCCTCCTCATCTGCATTACATCCTTTCAGGAATTATTGGGAAAAAAAAAAGTATTGCAAATGCAAAAGATTGCAAATGGGTTTCTGGAGTCCTGTGCTCCAGGAAGAGAGCAACTCATAGTCATAATTGAATCATTTGGGGCCACATTCTGTGAGTACCCTAAGGTGATTATGCTGAGAATGGAGGCTTTCAGAATGTCATTTAGCAAGAAAAACATAGCTGGATACCAGTACTAAACTAATGCCCTTCAGCTACTCATTTTTTATGGCAATCTAATTGAAATGTACAAATTGTATAATGCTCCCTGCTCTTGAGAGAGGGCAGATGGGCAATGCAGATGATTGATTCAGAAATGTAGCCACTAAGATAAAGTTTCTCCTTCAAAAGAAATATGTAACTGATCTAATTTATGAGAAACCCAAGATAAGTGGAACTGTCATTCTGTCCTCCTATTGGAAATATCCTTTGTCTTGCATGTGCAAAGAATGCTGCATAGAAACATTTTGGTTTCTAAAATAGATTTTCTTTTCTTTTGTTCTTTTTTTTTCCTTTAAAGTAACTTATAGAGGCCTGATTAAATTATAAACTGAAGATACCAGAGTCTACTTTTAAATACATGCTTGTGATTATTATGTAGAAGATAAAGAAGAGGGAGGGCATAAAGACAGCACCACTTACAGTACAAGTGGAATATTTGGAGGATGGAGCAAGAGGTCTGCTATCCAGAGAACTCTGCAAAGAAGAAGCTTAAACCTGGCCATTTCAAAAAAATTATAATGCCTTTTTGGGCATGTGAGTAAAAGAGAAATTATACCATATTCATAGACATAACTGCTTTGTCTTCTGAGGCAAAAGATAACAAATCCCAGAGCTGTAATTTAATAGATGAGTGTTAAGGTGAAGCAAAGGGAAGTGATTTAAGATGAACAAGTGACTGTCTTGTTTCACAAAGTGGGGGAGTAGCACCATCATTAAATTAGGGTAGGATGAAACATTACCTATTCATTCCTTCACTTTGGAGGTACCAGTGGACTCCAGAAACACACACAGAGGTCTCCAGTCTGTGGTTAGGGTGTATTAGTGATTATGAATATACTACTGTCTGTCTGTACATCCAGAAACTGAAAAGCTTTCATTAAAACTGCCAATTTATCTAAAAAATACATCTACCTAAATTTTAATTTTCTATTTCAATCAGTTTTTTACTTCAATCAACACCTTCTTTTGATTTTATTAATTGCATTTAATAGTTTTTTGTTGTTGTTGTTTTGTTTTGTTTTGAGACAGGGTCTCACCATGTAGTTGAGACTGACCTGGAATTCACTATGTAGCCCAGGCTGGTCTCAACTCACAGCGATCCTCCTGTCTCAGCCTCCCGAGTGCTGGGATTACAGGCATGTGCCACCACGCCCGGTTGCATTTAATAAATATTTGCTGCACATATTCAATACAGAACACTGTGCTAGACAGGCCCAAGAGAGGATGCAAAGATACTAGAAATATCTCAACCTTTGCTCCGTTTATCAGGAAAAAAGATAAAAAATATCCATGACCATAAAACAAATGCAGATAAAACAAGAGGAAGGAGGGATGGCAGAAGGAGGGGGGGGACAGAATGCAGCATGACTACAAAGACTACAAAGATTGTATCTGTTGGCAAGAGAATTAAGATTGTTTCATGGAAGAGGGTATGGATAAAATTTTACTAGATAATGATGGGGTGTAGTTATAAAGAATTACAGATCAGTCCAATTTAAAGGAGCAGAGGGGCCTGCCGTAGTAGCACACCCCTGTTGTCCCAGTACTCAGCAGGGGGACCATAGTGAATTCAAGGCCACACTGAACTACATAACAAGACTTTGTTTCAGGAAAACAGAGAATAGCTGGAAAAAGGCCCAGAAAAATAACGTATATTGTGAGTTTGGCTGCAGACAGGGTGCAGAAGGAAGACCATGAGAGTGGAAGGGCCACTCCAAGTAGGAGTTGGTGCTTTGTTCAGCTGGTAACAGAGCAATGCGATAAGACTGAAACACAGACTCACATGAAACCTTCTCCAGCACCGCTGAAAATATGATGTGATATATGGAGATACGATGCGCCCCTCTCAGTTTTTGGATTTATTTCTTTTTATAACATTTTTCAGGATGCAAAGATTCTTTTATGTGCATACACACACGCGCACACACACACAAACACACACACTAGTTTTTCAATTTGCTGTATATATATATAAAAATATATAATTTATTTATATATTATATAACCTACATAAATTAGTTACATCTATAATAAAGTTTGCAATTATACATTATATATGTATGTGTATGTATGTATTCATTCTTACTAGGGAGCCCTGAAGCCATGATTCATATACTGTTGCTATTGCCCAAAAGGCAACCAGGATTCTCAACACTGGCTGTACCTCTCACGTTACCCTAAGCACCCTAACACTTACAGAATGGAGGATGCTGCTACCTCACCTCAGACAACTATAGTCACTGACCTCAGACATCTCATGTTTTAATAGCTGGCCAGGTGATTCCAATGTGCTCACATGTTTGGGAACCACTGATGAAAAGATGGTTCATTCAGTTAAATTATTTGGAGGGGTCTGTGTATTAATGCATTTCCAGACTCGATAGGATGAAAACCTTAATTCTGAAAAATCAGCATATGAAATTTTTATTTTAGATTTTGTGACCTTGAAGTTTGAATGAGCCAAGGTTATCATCAAGAAGAAGATGGAAAAGAAAGAAGAAGTGAATAGAATTTGGTAGATTTTTAATGAAAACAATTTTTTTAGGCACTACTTAGAATTGGAAGTGTTTGTGATCGTGGGCATATGAGTAGGCACTAAAGATCTGTTCATTATAGCTTCTAGAGTTCCTTCTGATTTGGGACAAGGCCTTGATAAGACTGGGGAAGAACAGTGGGCTCCCAGCAGTAAAAAAAGGTAAGCCCTAATCCGCATGGAGCAGATTCCTTCTTCTATTCCTCTTCCCTATTTTTTTCTGTGTATTTCTTTTGTTTACTTTTTTCTTCTTTTTAGTTTTGCAAATCTCTCCTTTCTTTCCTTTTTGTTAATGCACATTTTTCTTTTTCCTTCTCATCTTCTCACATCTCTTCAATTACTTCATTTCTTTCTCACTGAACCCCTTTCCCATATTAAACACCTGAATTACGTAATATTTAAAATTATTAGTTGTATTTCTTAAGCAAATGTGGTGTTTTCTAGTTTTAGATTGAGTGGCAAGTTAAACATATTACCTAGTTTTATGTAAAATAAATTTTGAATAAGCTGTTTTTCATTAACAAATCAGGTTGAAGTTTCTGCTAAAGAAAAGAAAGTGCCTTGTCCCTTTACCAGGCATTTCAGATAAATGAACAAAATAAGCCATTTATTTTGAAGGTAGCCATCTCAAATATACTTTATGGGAAGTTTCATGAAAACTATGTGACATGAAAATGCCTGCTAGTTTTACAAGTTATAATGAGAAAAAGTTGATAGCAATATAACACCATTCCCCAAATGATAGGAGAATTTTAAAAGTAGGAAAATCCACATATGCAGAGACTACCACGGGCCAGCAGTTGTCAGAGAATTTCAATGCCAATAGAACATGCTGTCAAACGATGCACTGGTTGGTCAAAGAGAAAACACAATAGCATCTACACAAAATCTTCACCTTATATCTTCATTTTGTCATTTATTTTCCTGTCCATAATAGCTTTTTATTTCTATTTTATTTATTTATTTATTTATTTTGAAACAGGGTCTCACTATGTAGTGAGACTGACTTGGAATTCACTATGTAGCCCAGGCTGGTCTTGAACTCACAACAATCCTCCTACCTCAGCCTCCCAAGTGCTGGGATTACAAGCATGTGCCACCACTCCCGGCTCATAATAGGTTTTTATATACCCAGTCAATCCATGCCTGTGATTTCCTACAGGTGATCTCAAAAAGCATTTTTTTCAAGAATTCTTCCTTGATTCCTCCTTTATTCTTTGACTGATTTCTCAGTTTCCTTAGCCACCTATTTTAGGTCAGGCACTTTGGTTGGAAATTTCCCAGTATTATTTTTATTTTTTTGGTACTGGGGATTGAACTTGGGACCTTGTGCTTGAGGGACAAGTGGTGGAACCACTAAACCAAATCCTCGGCTCTCCCGGTATTATTTTTAATGCTGCAATAATCTTGTGATGTAAAGGTTTCTATCACCATTAACAAATGTAGAAACTAAGGTTCAGAAAATGTTAAATAAATTATTTGTGCCACAACCTAGGCGGAGCTGGGGTTCAAACTCACTTGTTAATTCAAATGCCAGTGGTCTCTTTACTCCTCACTTTCTTCTTAGTCTCTTTCTGTTGCCATTGTAAATTATCTACAATTTTACAGTAGTGTTACATGCTTACTCCTTAGACAAACACAGTAAAAAAATTTGGAAAACTGCACCCCAAATGAGCAGTAGACATTGCTATGTATTGTTAAAAAAATCAAATATATTGGGACCCAGGTCATATGCATCATACAGAAAGCTCCCCATGGGAAAGCTCATTAGGGCAGAGAAGTGAATAAGAATTAAATGTGTATCTCTTGCTTTCTATCAAGGGAAATAGAATTTTGGAGAATTTTATTCTCTCAAAAACACTTTCTTATAACCAGCGTCTCTTTTAATATAAAATAATTTATAAAAATCCCTGTGGAGAATTCTAAAATGTATCAGAGAATTACCAGCACTTTCTTTTTGGAATACATGCCAGTATGCATATAGCCTGCTATCAACTATATCCTTTTTATAAGTCCTTCTTCATGTGCCTGGGGTTTCAAACTTCACCTGAAACTGGATAAAGCCATGTCTTATGATTCTGTGTTTATATGATAAGAAATGACAGTGAAAGGATTTGTGCTTATTCCTGCTTAATCTCAACCAGTGGTCTTGATCAGTTGTTCTATCCTGTTGAAGTCTTAAATTGCAGGATATCAACTAATGTTATCCATCCTTCCTAGGAAGCTCCTGTTCTATATGTACCCTCCCCGTTCTTAGTCTCCATTTGTACACACTTTCTGTCCCTGTTCTCAGGACTTTGCCTGATGCACTGGACCCTAGCACTTAGCACAGGGCCTGAAATGGTGCAGAAGCTCAATATATTTTGAAAATGAAAGAATAAAAGAAATTTGAACAGGGAAGAAAAGACGAGGGAAGAAGAGGAGAGAAATAGGGTAGGGAAGAGAATGAAGACAAGGAGGAGTAAGAACAGAGTAAAATTAAGGAGTAGCAAGAGGCAGTTTGGAGTCTACGATATTATTTAATTTCCATAAGCCTCAAATTTTTCTTTGTAAAATATAACATCAACCTGGGGGGATTTTTGTGACAATTAAGGGAGAGGATGTGTACACAGACATCTGGTATACAGGAGGTAGGACCCACTGAAGGCTGAATGGGTTCCTGGGTTCCTTCACTTTAGCCTCAGAACTGTCAGTATGAGCAAGCAATAACATTAGTGGCTTTGAGCCATCTCAGGCTGCTGGAGTGTCTGGCCCTTGTACTCACTGCATTGGCTCTCTTTCCAAAGGAATCACTTCATTAAAATGGAAGATTTACTAAAACAGTTTGCCAGGTTAGGATGATTCATCCTCCCCAGCTGTGGTCATTATCAAAACGCCATATGCCTTCAGTACAGTCGTAAGGGCTGAAAAGCCACTCATTGACAGAGCTTTTGGTCTCAGTGTCATTTATTTTTGTATTTTAAAAGAGGAAGTGCACAAGACATCATTACACTAGCTCAATGTAAGAGGCTGGTGGGTCTCGAGTAAGTGGATGCACATTTACACTTCCAAAGTTTCTCTGCTTTTCAAAAGAAAACACACATCTAATCGGACATGTGTGTAATGTATAGGCACATTTACATGTTGGATTATTCCTTTCCTTGATGGTGAGGCCTAATAGATTTTTAGTGTTAGATGGGAATTTTAAATTTACTTTCTGCAAGCCCCAGATTTAGCACCTTTTTTATGTTTAGCCTGTCAAGCAATGCTGCTACTTAAACAAGAAACATTTAATCCTCAACACAATTTCAAAAGGGTAGAGGGGTTGAAAGCAGGGCAGAGAAATGGGGAAAAAATAAGAACCAAGATATATAATGTAAAGGTACAAATTTCCAATGGTGAATGTCATCATATTATATACCTAAAATGTACCAATAAAATTAATGAACAAAAAAATAACTTAAACATAAAAAAGTAAATTTTTCCCTATTCAAAACAGGTAAGTTCACAAAACTATATGTCTGTGGACTGCTGATAAAGTCTAAAAGTCAAAACAAGAAGCTTTACTCTTTCTGAAGGGTTATAGAGACAAATAATCATATACAAAATACGACATTCATCACATCATTCATTTAATATTTCCTGCATCTTAATGGACTTCTGGTTTGAAAAAATGAAACATTATTATCTCTTAATTTAATTTATTCTGTTCAATATATTATTTATTCAAGAATTTGAGTGGCTTCAATATCAAAATCTGCCCCTTATTTGGAATTTCTGCCTTTAATCCTAGAGTGACTGCCACATCTCTAAAGACTGCCCCCTTTATTTTTTTTTGGTACCAGGATCGAACTCAGGTCCTTGTGCTTGCGAGGCAGGCCACCGAACCGCTGAGCTAAATCTCCGGCCCGAGATTACCTATTTTTGAAGAGAAACAAGGAGCAGAGAAAAGGGTGAGGCTCACTAGCACGCCCAGAGCCTCAAGAGGCTGCCTTGGAAGCAACGAAGATAACAGAGTGCTAGACATTCCTGCAAAGCTCTGAAATAGTAACAAAACTATTCTGTCATTTGTTTTTAACCACACTAAGTGACTGAAAAGGTCCTCACGATATAGGCTGTGTTTAGGTCCCTTCCTTCCGCATAGTTTCAAGTGTTAAACAACAGCTCTCTTTTGATACATCCCAACCTGCAACATCTCCGCACAGCAAGCTTCCAACACAGTGGTGAAGCTGCTAAAGGAAAACCAATGTTACTATCAGCACTCTTAACCTAGCAGGCGCATGTTTCATTTGAATTCCTGGGAAATTACTTGAAATCACACAATGGAAGACCACATACAGAAGAACATTTGTTTAGAGTTATCAAATCATTTAGATTTGTACCTGAAAGTACAATAAATAATAAAATTGTATTGGTGTAAATCGCTGAGGTTTTGTGGTAGGGCTCCTGCCTGTGGGCCAGAGGATGAGGGCTGTAAAAGTTAGAAATGCTTTTTTTGCTGGGAAGCACCCTGCTGCAGGCAGCTGAGAGAAGACAAAGAGGAAGCTTTCCAAGACAGCTTTCCTAAGCAATGGACCTTGTGCCCTCATCACTTTAGAAATAGATGATCTGGCCCAGTCCTTTCACATTTTAAAATTATTTAGGGACACATAAAAAGGCCACTGCAAAAAATTGTTTCTATGAAACTTACATTGTAGTTTCATGTGGTATTTCTAAGAACTGAAGGAGAGACTACCTTCACACCTGAAGAATCCTGCCAGCGTTCTCAGTCTACCATCCTCCCATTCCTATGGCCTCTCAAGTCTAAAGACAATGGCTGCGGCCCACTGGGATCCCTAAAACACTTCGTTGACCATGATCCTCTCTTTTTTCATAGTTTAATGCTGTTATTCTTGCCCTGGAGGCAATTAAGAATTGCCTTCTATCAATTAAGAATGGATCCTAAGCCACAAATTATCTGTAAAAATATATTAAGCAATAGACAGTGTAAACACAGTGGGAAGGATCTATGTAGTGTTGTTTCATCCATAAAAAATACTATTATTCCAAAGAACATAGTGAATGTAGGTTTAGTGCTAAATGAAGGCTACAGCTGGAGCAAGGGCCACACCACAGTACTTATTTATAACCTTGTGCATGACATTTAGCTCTAACTGCATGGCTCATAGGCAAGGGAGACCTTACTGTGAAGAGTGAGGCTGCTGGTTGGAGGAGGACAAGGCTGCCTTTCTGAACAGCTCTGCTAACAGCTCAGCTCTGTGGC